AACGTCATTCGCCCGATCGTTCCGACAAACCTGATCGGGGAGATGGATAAAGCTGGTCCATCCCGGTCTAGAAGGAGCCGGTCCCGTAGGTCACAGACAAAGGTGACCTCGGACGGGGATGTGCGTTCAGTGCACAGCAAAGACGAGGATTGGGACGTCCCCCAGGCGATCAAGAAGTTGAAGGGAAAGGCAGTTCAGCTAGAAGGATCTAGGAGGTCGGCCTTTCTGAGACTTGGCCATGATGGCCGAAATCAGAACCGGTCAGCAAAATAGCGGCTTGGGGTAGAGACCATTCCAGCTAGTGCCTTTAATCGTGCAGGGAAAGGAGCCGGACGACCTGGTTAGACCAGGCGAACGGAGCCATCCCCACGCGATGAGCCCCAGCACAGCCGGGCACCACGAGAGGAAGAAGCCGAAAGCCACCCCAGGCACACGACCCGTTCACATGTTGAGCAACCTCGGGATCGTGTGGGCCGGGTCGAGGCACGTCTGGAGAAACTACAACGCCGGGTAGACCGAGAAGAAAAGAAGAAGATTCTGCTGAATGAATCTCCGTTTACATACCGGGTTCATGAAACACCATTTCCAAAGAAGGCGAAACTTGAAGTGCCGAATTTCACCGGGAAAGAGGACCCGGAAATTCACGTCAAAACCCTCCATCAAAGTGGGCGGATGATGGGTCTTTCCGGGGATGAGAAATGTTTGCTTTTCTTTCAGACCCTCCGCGGCCGAGCCGCCGAGTGGTTTCATAACTTACCGGCCGGTGAAATCGATTCTTTCGATGAACTGGCTGAGGTGTTTCAAGAAAAGTTCAAAGAAAACTGTACTAAGAGGAAAAAGTTTACCTACTTGAGTACAGCCGGGCAGCGAGAGCACGAGGATCTGACAAAATTCCTCACCCGGTGGAAGGATGAGGTTGACAAGGTGGAGGAGATGGACGACAAGACAGCAATGACCCTCCTTGTATCCGGGCTCCGATCCGGAGAACTATACAAAGAATTCTGCAGGAGGCCTCCCCAGTCCTATCAAGAGACCTATAACACGGCCTGGGACTATGCTGACGCTGAAGCCCAGATGTCATCCAAGAGGGAAGCCGAGCAGGGCCACTCAAAGGGAAAAGTTTCCTTGAAAAAGAAAATTACATTGCCCGGTAAGATAAAAGCAGAAGTCATGGAGGTAAAACCGGTCAAAACAGAGAAGAAACTGACCGGCGAGAAACAATGGACGGAGAAGTATTGCTCCTTTCACAAAACTGATTCCCATAACACTGCAGAGTGTAACAGTGTGAAGGGGGTAATAAAGCAGATGATTGAGGCCGGTGAGATTGATCCTGA